TAACAGTTTCATACATTGCATAGCATTATTTTATTTGTTAAATTCCAATAATTTTGCTAATTATTTTAACTGTCATATTTACTATTGCAGTAGCTTTTTCACTGATTCCAAGTGCAATGTTATTATTTTGGTGAATTCTCATTGTAAACACTGTACGATACATAAACCAATAAATTCCACATCACGTTCTCGGAACAGTGGTCAAGTTGTCTCATTTCTTCAGGTTCGTTTTTTTGCTCCCAAGATTATCATATTACAGTGTCACATAAAAAGTCTAATGACACAAGCAGTGATTTGTTGCTTTATTTTCAGAGGATTTCTACTTCAGTTATTGACAGTAAAACAAACACAGAAAATAAATGTGAAACATTTAGCAGTTGAAACTCTCAAGTAAGGTATTTTGAAACTTCATGACCAATAACAAAGAAAAAAAGGCACAGCTATTCATTTTATTTCTGATTTTACAACTTTTCTCTTCGTTATACTTTTATTTGTTAGGGTAGAGGTAATAACAGATAAAATATAGTTTCACTGAAAAAGAAAAAGGGTTTAGGGGTTATGAAATTTGAGATTTTTAAGACAAAGAAAAGTACTTTTAATCTTAAATTAAAATTAACTTTGCACTTGGACTAGTAAAAGAAAAGAGAGACTCAAAGACAAACCTTTAGTAAAAATACTTCATTAAATAAGCTAATTTTCTGTGTACAAATGACATGTAAATTTACTAAATGTCTACCAAATTTTGTTAAGATACAAATACTATATTACAAGTTATAGTATGGAAACTATAACAAATATAAAGTGGTTATGAGGTCAGTCAATTCAACTGACCCTGTGTTGAGACAGTTAATAAGTTTTCACTAGTCATAAGTTTTTATTGGGATTGATTATATTAAGTTTTCTTATACATAATTATACCAATGATCTGTTTTTCAACAAACATTAAATTTAAAATAGTACTTGAAGCTAAAAACTAGCATTTATATATATATATATATATATATATATATATACTGTTTCCTTCTTTGTATATTACATTTAATAACAGTATTGGTTAAAATTTTTATATGTTTGGTCTTATTATTTTTTATTACTACACTTTTATTACAAAGATTATTTTACATTGTTAGCTTAGCATATGAAGTTAGGAATAACCGAAATCACTTAAGCAGGATGAATCTTGAGAGATATTATTGGATACATGGCTGAAAATACTGTTAACAACAAAGGCACTCAACTGATGAAACATTGCATTATAATCTTTATAAGTAATACCAGTATATGCTCATTACCAGGTTGCTGTTGAGTTTTATTTTTCCTAAGCAGGTAGTTTTCTTTGATCAGAAGTTAATGTCTGTCAATTTCAACTTCTTAAACTTATGGCATTTATCCCTGATATTTTCTTTTGTCTTTAATAAACCAATTAGGTTTGATCTTCCCTGTATTCATTTATCTATTTTTAGGGACATGTCTACCTTGAATTAAAAGCAATTTATTTCAAAAAAATCCAAATCTATCTCACATCCCCTTTTAATTTACTGTTCCATTTCACTAATGATAAATCTTGTCTCATGGCTTCAAAATTGACTTACTACAAATTAGGAATACAAATTTCATTTGTTTTTATCTCAACGTGTAGCAAAATATCAAACTTAATTATGAAATGTTCACTCTTCCCCAAATGTTCCCCTACTTCAAACTGTTGCAACCATATCTTCATTAGTGGTTCAATAACTCTAAAATGCCATCTTCCCTGGCTGGCTTTCTGACCATTTATTAAACAAAACAATCTTGAATCACTTCAACTAATTTCTCTCCCTCACTATTTGACTCCATATTATTCTAATTAACATATCTAGAATTAAAGTCTGCCACTATTATTATTGTATCAGTATTCCTATTAGCAGGGACAAATTAAGTTTGATGGGGGTTGTAATAGTTTTAGGGACCCATCTTTGCACATTCAATTCCTTCCTATTGCCATTTTACTACTTATCATGCCCAATGCTAATCACTGTTGTTAATTTGCCTTAGTTATTTCATTTCTGGTTTTTAATTGTAATAAATCAATTGTTAACTGTGGCAGCTGATTACAAATTGGTAAAACTGTCATGTTGTTTGAATCTGTACAGTCACACACTATTTATTTATTTTAAATATTGTATTCAAAGTGATACATAATTTTGGGGCCTATCAAAATCAAAGACCATGAACTGGAGCCCCTAAAGCCCTTGCATAACCTGGCCCTTCTTATTAGTAGCAGCCCTGATCTCATTAAAATGACTTTCAGACTGTAAATCTCTATTATATTCCATTTTGCATTAGCATATAGCTACTCAGAGGTAGTATGCCTTTAAAATTGGAAACTTAAACCTGATTGGCACCTTACTTGCATGTGGGCTAGATAGCAAGGTCAGGGGTATTAGGATTCATGTATAATATTCCCTAATTTTCAACTACTACCAGAGGGGAGGCAGGTAGTCAATAGCATCTGCTGCCAAAAGAGCTTTTTCTGGTTTTTTGAACCAAATAATGGGATTGACTGTTAATTTTATAATGCATCCATAGCTGAAAATGTAGTATGTGTTTACCAGTATCACATCTTGAACTGTTTGATATGTAGCCTGACACTCTAACCCCTAGGCCTTGCCTGGACTGAGTATCTTCATAAATGCTTCATATAGCTAATAAACATGCTTTTTTTGAATAATTTCATTGGTATTCTTGTTTGCTTTCAGGTGTTATTATTCATGCAGTATTTATTGAACATTCAAGTGAATTATATTTTATCTGTACACAAGAATGACATTTTTGTGTTCATTTCCTTCCACGTGCATTTGTATAAAAAAAATTCTATAGTTTCTTGTGTGCTACAAGGAAAATCCTGCAAGTTATTTTCACAATATTTTTGAATAAATACATAAATTTACAATGGAAAATATTACAACAAAAACAGCATAAAAATACATCAGAATGAAATTACCTTTATTATTAATGAATCAGTTTGTTTTATAATAAATTTTTCATGAAGAGTGAACCTAGAGATAAACCTATATATAGGACTTACAATACCATCAAAGTGAATTATCAATGAAATAAGAATGAGAACATTTGGGCCAAGAATTGGTTTTATTTTAAAGCCATATAAACAGCTTTTACACAGCAGTACAGTAAGCATCTGTAAAAAGGATTCTATCAACTAACCCTTCTTTCTTGGCCCTTATTCTTATATATATTTTGAGGTGTTTGAATAATCTTTTTTCTAGTTTTTGGAAAAATAAACATAGCTGTAAACACATTCAAGCTCAAACCACAGTTAAAATATAAAACTTACAATATATAACTACAGATCACAAGAATAAGTTATAATCTGAATGAACATTACAAAGAATGTTAATGAAAAGTATGTTGAATAATATTAAACAAGGATTCACTCATTGGCTAGAAACAGTCTTTAAAAAATAACACTAACCTCATTTGGCTGTTGGTGCTTGCTCGTATCATAATAGTTCTGACATAATGCTAGTCCTACTTGGGTTTTAGCGCTTGCTTTCAATGTGTTAGTTCCAATAAAATATTAGTCCTACTTGGGTGTTCATGCTTGTTCTTGCGATATTAGTTCTAAATAGAATGATAGTCTTACTTGGGTGTTGGTGCTTACTTTTTCTATGTCAGCTCTGACACAAAGTTAGTCCTACTTGGACGTTAGAGCTTGCTGTTTTAACATCAGTATTTATTCCTCTTAAAAATCAACAAGCACAACTATTGTTAGAAAAAAATTAAAAACATTTCTCAGCACTTGTAAATCTGTATATTGTGTTATATCTTACCATTATTTCAATGACAGATGATATACACATTGTTTACCTACATTCACTATAGTAATTTTAAAACTGTTCTTACTACATACTGATTAGCCTGAAGAGAGCTCCAAAGGAAGAATTTAAAATCCTCTCAATAAATACCCTACTGAGTTATTATTTTTCTATCATTGGTGAATGTTTTATGGCTTCTTTTTCATTATTATTTTTATATAAGACTTGTATAACTTTTCAGTGGGTGCATGACTGAGTAATGGGACAACTGTTACACTTATTCCTACACCAGTGTTATTAGCAATGTTGTAACATATAACAATCATTCCGTAAGTGGCTGAGAGAGTGCCTGGTGCATTCACAGCTCGTTAAGTTCAAAACTATACAGTGGGCTACAAGTGCCTTGTAAACCATGGCAATCAAACCCAGATTTCAGTGCTATAAGTCCCCAAGGCTTACTAATGAACCACCTGAGGTTTTCAGAGCTTTTATATGATACATGTATCATATTACTTGTTTTTATACAACTGTTAAAGAAATAATAAAATTGTTAAATGATTAATTAAAAAATATATGATTTTTGAAGTATATGAGCTATTAAAAAGAATCAACAAACATAAAAGAAAACTACAGGCTCGTAGTGTTGTTTATAATTCTGATGCAGATTATCATGTACATTAGTGCTATATAATTATGTCTTATACTTTTTGGAATAAAAGCTAACAAGTGTTATCAGATTTTAATTCCCACTAATGTGTACTAGTTTTTATACAGTACTCTAACCAGGTTCACAGATATTGCAAGATTTTAAAAAACATTAAAGCACTGATGATACTTTATCTTCAATAATTTGACTATTATTGATTGTTGATTTTTGCTATTATTTCAAAAATAGCAATTCAATAATATATATTTACTATCTTACGGTTTACCTCCACTTGCTATTAAAGGAAGAAAAACACAAAAAACTATAATCTCTACCTATATAAACAGTATCAGTATTAACATGGAGATTATGGTTTTTTTTATCTATGTAATCAGGTAATCTTAAGTACAGGACTGGAAATTCTATTAAGATGAAATATATTCTAATAACTTGGAACCTATATGAAAAACTCAAAATAGAAAAGTTTGAATATTATGTTGAAATATATAAATGCATCAGTTTATAAAAAACATCCTCACCTGAATCTCTATCAGAAAATTCTGAAGAATACACTTGGAACATGCTCCGACTTTCACTCGCCACCCTTTGCATGCTGTCTCTCATGTCACTGAAACAAAACAGGAAAGCAAAAAACACAATAATATTTCAGTTAAAGGTCAAAGACTGTTTGAATAAAACTGCAAAAAGTAAATATAAATGTTATTAATGAATTGCATTTACCATAATTTTAATTTTACCATAAAAATTACAAAAACAAATTTATTCTATTAGAATTTGAAAGTAGAAATCTTCTATGTATGAAGTAAGTTAATATATTGAATAGTATCTATAGTATCCATTTCTTACCAAGATTAGCATGCAGTTCTACCACAGCTTATTCCAATTTTTGCAATTATACCAAGGGTTAAGTACATTATATTAAAGCAATCTTGAATATGCAAACAAATCACTGGCAACCACAGCCAATATAAAGTTCTGGTGGAATAGTATGTATCAGAAGTACGTTTGGCATTTGGTAGGTTGTATGGTGCCACTGAAAGTCTATTGCAATTGGGAAAGGTATGCAACAGTCCTTTCCAATGTAAAATGTTCATACACTAAGATCATAAAGATGTGTTTGGATCAGGGTTTTAGTATTTCAAAAATAGAGATATCTCTTGTAGTTAATGGAATTGAAAACTAAAGGAATATGGATCAAATTAAGACACCAGGACCATCAAGAATAATACCTGCAACAAGTTGTACCCCAGTTGTGGTAAGTAAAGTGTGGCATCTTTTAACAGCTGGGAATCCACTAACACAAAGTTGAGTAGCAAAAGCTGTTCACATGTTTTAAGCAACAGTACATGACATAATCAAGAAGGATCAACACAAGTTGCTTCCACAGCATTTATTCGTGCTATTCCATATGACGATATGCTGGTCACGTCACCAGATGCAGTACCTATGCATTTCTGTACATTCATACTGTTGAAATGGGTGCCAAGAAACTGTCATCCTCATACTCTAAACAGCTTATGGAAAGCACAGGGAATAGTGGTGTACTTTTGACATGACAGCCATTTGCAATGGAAACTATGGTGCAGTGCTACTGTAATGATGCACAGCCATCAGATAAAGTATGATTGGTCTTGGCATTTGCAATGACATATGGTTATGCTTTAAAAAAGCTTTAATATAATGTACTCAATCTCTGTATTATAATTACACACACACACACACAACTGGTCAAATTAATTAAAATATATTCATTATTTTTCTATATTCTGGGTAAGCAAAGGCACAACTATTGTTATCAAATAATGTCAATGGCACCCCCCGAGTTCAGTCATGTAATCTGATGTACATTTCATTTTAAGTAAAAGTGAAGAAAATACAATGTGTTTCTCATTCTCAGAAAGAGTGGTTAGCAATAGACGTAGATCACTTTCTGACCATCAATACAGGCAGCTGGAAACCTGGACAGGGAAGACCACCATTGAAAGAAACCTGCACAGCTGTTCAGGCTTGAAGCAGCCTCAGCTCCCAAAATAAATCAACAGTTCAGAGTAGCAACTTGATGGAAAGCCAAGAAAATAGAACCCAGTTTCACAATGATTGGTCTTTATGTTGGATGACAAATAGTATAGTTACTCTATCTCATTCATACAAAACAGCTTCTCTTCAGTGAAGTCAAGAACATGTGGATTGATCAAATGTTTTACTCACAAAGGAATCATGTTATGCATTGTATCCACACGAGATGTGTAGGGGGGTATTTCAAAATAAATCATACTTTTTTCCCCGAGAGCACAATACCATTGGGCTGCCATTGTTCTCATGCACGAGTTTTAATCAATTTGCAAAAGATTTCAGCAATGCAACAAACATGTCTGTTTTTATGGCTGTCTCTGTGAGCACATCAGTGAGAACATGAATCAAGGTTTCACATTTGTGTCTCTCACATTCAGGCAAAGTTTCCAACATTTCTTCTGTGTATTGTCGAAATGAAAGCTCAGACATTTTTGGTGGGACTTAAATCTGGAGAGTTCCTAATCCACATTCCACCACTTTTTCATGGACCACTCTTTCAAATTCAACAATTCTGAAACTTTTGAGGCATTAATTGGATTTTTCAAATCTGGCATTGTGATGTGCTGTTTGGAAGACTTGAATTCTCGGAACATGTCTGCGACTAGTTTCTGAGCCATCCCGAAGGCAGCACATGTGACACGAACCCGAGTTCTAGTGCGCACCATGATTCAAAAGTTTTCGCAAAAAATTAAATTTGAAGAGTCAAACACCCAAGAGTACATTGAAATGACGTTTGCTCACGAGTGATGATATTCACAGTCTTACCAAGTTTGTCATTACTTCGGGAAAAAAAAGTGATTTATTTTGCAACACCCCTTACACAGTTTGGAGAGCATCAGGACTAGATCCAACCCCAATTTCATAGAGGAAAAACATGCATATGGCAGTAGTGATATACTAATTTGGACAGAGTTCAATTCTAATGACTACACAGACCTTTATGTGCTATGACAAAGCACTATGAATACCAATGGATATGAGGATGCAGTGTTACAACCATGATAGATGATACACACAACCCTTCCATGCCCAACTGTTTAGCAACTTCCTGGAAGAGGGTATTTAGGGAATGGACTGGCCAGCACCATCACCATACTTGAAGCTGATTGACCACATATAAGATGCTCTAGGAAGAAGTGTAGCAGTATTTGATTCACCTCCAAGCAGTGTTGATGAACTGAAAGCAAATATGATGGATGAGTGGGCCATATTACCTCAAAGCACACTGATTCACTCATTTTAAACTTTCCATAATGATGTTTGACTTGTATTAGTGTTCAAGATAGTTATATGTTTTATAAACAAATATTTTCTAAACATTTACTGGGCTGCAACATTTGTGGTACCTAATGAGCATGGATTCTGATAGTAGCATATAAAATCATGACTTGTTTTACATAAAAATAAACTCAGAGATGCCATTATTTAATAGCAATATGTTTGCCTTATCATAGCTAGAAAACTGACTGTCCCATAATTATTTTGAGCAGAGTATATAAACACACATATACATACATACATTTTTTATTGTGGTGTAGATCAAGGACTGAGTTTCTGTTAACTAAATTTATTCCAGTAATGTTAATGATTAGAAAAATAAAAGAAGTCTAATCTTTCATTACATTTACTACTTGTCACTGAATTATACTAGTTTCTGCGAGTTCCCCTCATCAGCAGCCCTGGACAAGGGAAGATCAAAAGAATAAGACTAGGCTTTATATGGTGTTGGAGAATATATTATATTACTTACAATGTTCATGATTAGCAAATTAAGGCTTGTCTTGACAGTCAGTTTTCTATCTGAACAATTTTAAAGATAAAGAACTAAGCTGATCAAGTAGTTGAAAGTAGCCTGGATTACTTAGGACAGCTTCTGTTAATCTAAGGTGTCCAAAGACTATTGAAAAAGTCATGATCACTCTTCAGAATTAATTTTTTCTTGAAGTGTTTATCATGGTTCTGGGTTCTCATTAACAACTACTTATGATAACATTGTAAAGTAGTATTCACCGTTTCAACTCATCATCATAAAGCACTTTCCAATGTTGAAGCATTTCCTTACTAGTCAGAAGTGCCACATCTCCCCCCATACAGTGTTCTTCCAGGTAAGCTTTGGTATAAAGTAAACTGGGTAAAAAACATCACACAATGGCTAGTTAATAACATTTCCAAAATATTAAAATAGATAAGAAATGAATCATAATTTTAACTAACAACTCATAAGCTGAACTCGTTTCAGTAATGAGAAATTACTCAAAAAAAAAACCTGAATGTGAACTGAAATGTTTAATTTATGAAAATTACTTATTGTAAATGAAACTTGTATAATTCACTTAGTAGCATTTGTCAAGATCTAACGAATATCGTACAGGAAAGAACAGTGTAGAGTAAATGTTGACCAATGTATATAATACATATTTGTATATCCACCACATATGATGTTTTATGACTTGTAACTTTCATGAGCTATAAAATACATTTACTAAAGTACAACTTGTATTAATCCTAATCAGAAAGTAGAAATCACATTATTCCTTCACAGATTATTGTTAGCTGCACTGTCAATATTACTAAAAAGTTACATGGATAGGTGATTGCCATCAACCATTGTTTTTCATAAATATGTTCTAAGCTTAGTGTTGAGAAAATTAAGTTGAGATAGTACTGACTCAGCCCTTTCACTTACTTCAAGTTACGAGGATACTCTTCCAAAGCTGCCTCTACCAGTTGAAGAGCTTCAGAGTATTGTTTCTGAGCAGACAAAAGCAGAACCAGCAAATGGAGAGAGCCAATATGTTCTGATCTTAGGTGAAGGGCCATTTTAGCATGCTGAACAGCCTCAGTTAACTGCAGAAACAAATTTTAAATTCAATAATCCAAACATGAATTACTTCATTTTTAGCCTATAGCCTTAATTGAGAGCAGCAATATATTGAAACCTTTATCTTTCCAATGTTAAAAAGTTTAATTCAGAAGAATCATGAGAAACCCAACAACCTATCAAACTACCAAAATATCATACATGATCTGGAACTCTTAAACAAAAAGTGATTTATGATTTATATTCAACACACAGATATATATATATATACATACACACACACACACACACACACACACACA